TGCCGGCCCAGCATCCTCAACATTGAAAAATGCCCCGGTCCGAAGTGGTTAACAACCACTTTGAGGCTAAATTTATATTTATGTAGCATTTGGGGTAGGAATGGGGGTGAAATATACGTGACTAGTGTCAATAGATGTTGCCTTTCAGATTAGAGTAGCCACCAGACAGCCATATGTTGGGTGTAAACGTCCAGTAAATGAAGAAATGAATTTTCGAAGAATTTTGAAAATGAAAAATCTTGAAAACACCTGTATTTGTGCACGGCCATTTTAATTGAACCCGACAGCAAGTGGTTAACAAAGAGAAACTGAAGCTTGTGCTGATGCTCCACACGAATGACTCACATGATGTGATCTCCCATGGTTCAAGCGTGAAAAGTGTTGCATTGGCGCTATCACATGCATTGCCCACATCACCGGATATGGTACTACACTGACTGACCATTGATCAGGCTACTCAAGTTCCTAATTCCAGACAGGCCTGTTGTCTGACCAGAGACTGGGGGTCATCAAACCAAAAAGTGAAACTTTTGGCACTGTGAACACATATTTTTATACAAAGGCCTAGCATAATGTGTTTTGGAACACAACGTCAAATGGTATAAACATCATTATATTAACAATATATATTTATATAAAACAAACCAAAGCAAAATTCCAATGAGCGGAACTCAGAAGTGAACCCTGCAACCTCTCCCCCTCCCCATCTTAAGGGCCTGCCAGATATGTATAAAGCATGACCATATCTCTTTAAATTGTGCAATTTGAAATGATCTTTTAATCTACTTATTGAGCTTCTTTGTGCATCACCCATAACCTTGGTACGGTATCATGCTGTGGGGATTTTAATGACTGAAAGAGTATTTTTCTTTTTTGGTATATAAGGAGGTTTTTTATTGGTTTTCCAATTTGGCAGCTCCACAACACCCAAAGCTAGCAACAAATTGTTCATGCTTTTATTGCTTTTTAGTACTGTTGTCTTAGACATGTAAATAAATGACAAAGTTTTTTTTTGTCCAAGGTATTTCAAGCGTTCAGAGGGTAGCTGGAGTAACAGCAAATGGACAGTTTTTTGGTATGGCATCTCCAACCAACAGTTGTCCTACACTCTGGTGGAATGGGCTGTCAAGAAGCCCAAATCATTCCATGAACCAGATGAATATGAAGAATGGCCCGCAATCACTGAGTCATTATGAGGTACTAGGTCTTTTGTTGCTGATATATTTTCATATTGGATATAGATATGGGATTTAAGTGGTTTGCATGTAACTACCAAATATCATGGAAGCTTCCTAGTTTGACACTGGTCTAATGATGTACAGTAATAACTTGTCACATTGCACATGAGAAGTTGCGCTGTTATCAGTAAAGGCAAATTAGCACTGAGTTTGGGGGAAAGCCTAAAAATTGTGTGCAACTGAAGCAGATGTGAGATTGGGTTGCCTCTCATGCGTTGGAAATTCCTAAATTTCTGTTAAATTTATAATTACTTTTATAGTATCAAATGACTATTTGTGAAATGTGGGTGCCTGTCTGTGTTACTCCTGTTCATTGAGATAAATTTTGAGACAGTTTGTTTATTTTTTACAGGTGGTATATAGGTTGGCCAGTTCCTTGGTTATGTTGGAATTTGGCTTGCAGGTGCTTTATTTCTGAACCGATGTTCTTACCTTGCTGTGAAATAAAGAAGCTCATAATTGGTTGCTTTGTCTGTACTCATTGAGAAGGAAAGAAAACCTAGGTTCTGCCATCATGTGATCTTATGTTACAGTTGTGAAACTGCTGATGAGTGTTGCAGTTCTTTATCATATGTTCTATACATAAAATGATTAGCTGCTAAAGAATTATTAGGGGAAAACAAATGCACTTGGCCTGTCTTTTAATTAAGCAAGCATGTTTAGGACTGGCTTGGCTTTGGAAGCTGATAGCGAACAGAGTTTGACGCAAGGGTCATTATCAACTTTCAAAGCCCAGCTGGTCTTAAACATACTTCTCTTTAACATACTTTCTCTAAGACTGGTGAAGCACAAATTTTTCCCATTCAATAAATACTTGTTTGTATAATTTGGCAAACTCCCAAACTGCTTATGCATAAATTTCTGTCTGTATCACTCTACACAATAAGATTATTTAGATGACACGAATGGGACTGTCAACCAGACTAAAATGGCTGTTGTTGCCAGAGGGGCATTTGGTAAGAACAAGAAAATTGTTTTCTAAACTGTGAAGCCAACACTTGTGCATGGATATGCAATCATATTTAACCTGAAAGTTGTGAATTTTCAAAAGGACATATTGGTGATTTATTTTTTAACTGGGAGATACGCTAACAGTTGTGCATGATGTGTATAATAATGATGCAAATGTGCTCTGATGTTTCACATCAACTTTTCAGGCTTGGTTAAAATGTTCACATTTATTGCTCTTTTTTAACAGGTTTCAATTACATCTCATTTAAAGATGGTTTGCCCGATTGTAACAGAGCATAGAGCTTTCTCACTATTCTCAGCTTTGAAATAAACATTTCCTTGTCATGTTTGCATATGCTGAAATTTTGTAGTCTTAAAAAGCATGCAAAAAGTCTTTAGGTTCTGCACAGAGATCTAGAATTTTGCAAAATTGAGAGAATGACTCACCTTGATGTCTGAATATTCTCCAACCATCCCACACGCATTAGCCTTGACCTTGACATCCATTTCCAGCTGTCAGCAAGGTTTCAACCCAATCGGACTTGTACCTCAGGAGATACATGTACAGTTATTAAGGGTGTGCTTTTTATGTCACGTGACTTTTCACCTGATGACGTCATCATCACATGATGCCAGGTTTCACCTGTAATGCTTCCCTTTCTAGCTATCTGCAGTTTCATCCCAATCAGACATGTTCTTCAGAAGATACAGGACTTTGAAGATTTCACCTTATCATGTGACACGTGATGACGTCATTATTGTGATTTTGTTTGGGACCCTCTGTAGCTGGTGGACTAAGAGTGTGCACCTAATATACAGTCATTCAGATCATTCAAGGTCCTGCAGTTTGCTGTTGAAACATACTAAACTTATTAGGAAAATGAAGTATGCAACAGTCTATAATAGATCAGGTGATGATGTCATCATGACATCATGCTTTGAGGTACATCTATGCTATAGCCTAGGGTCTTTGAGGTAACTTCAATGAAGATACATGTACAAACTTGTAGAGGGACTAGGGGCACAAAAACCATGTACAAAATGAATGGCATTTTGTCAGAAGAACATCATGGAGGAGGAGCAGAAGGACAATAAGATTTCTGACTTTTCAAATGAAAACTTTATTTTGTTGTATTTGAAAACGAACCAAAGTTACAGTAACTTTAACAAAATTAAACTATTTACAAATAAAATATCTGAGAAATGAACAAAGTAAAGATCGATGTTTAATAGAAATGAAGTAAGCGAAAATGTGTACAAAATAAAACATCAATGATCAATGGAAATAGTGTAATCGAAAATGTATTTAAAATTAAAATTACATGTCGATATAATTGAAACACAAATAGAACAAACACGTAGTAAATTACAAACAACAGATCACTCAACACAAATGAACAAAATTAAGATGAATAATTAATTGAAAACCAAAGGAAACCGACAAGGGGGAAAGATTACATAGTAGAACTTATTCAATACGGGTGTGACAGAGATTGACATTGTTACAAATAACAGGTTTGCCAAAAGAAAAGAAAAACCTAACTGAATAATTAAAGTAAATTGATCTTTTATACAATTTAAACAGAACTGAACAAGTGACAATACAGAACGTGTCAGGTGAAAAAAAACATAAATGATTGATAGGAATAATGTGACCTGAAAGAAAAATCACAATAGAAATGTTCAATACAAACTGTCAATATGAATTAAACAAAAAGTCGAAATAACTACAACTCATGGATTTGTCAAAAGAAATGACAATAAAGACAAAATTACAAAACAAATAATTGAAGGATATTTACAACAAATAGACAGCAACCCCCGAGAAAGATCCCATTAACGAAAACAGTCAAAATCTACAAAACACAAAAATCGAATTGACAACCAAATACGGGAATTTTAAACAATACATATAATCAACTGTATACTGAATAAAACAAATCGACGTTTCGGCCAGTATGCTCTGCCGTCCTCAGGGGAATGTGTACCCCCCTCAACACATTCCCCTGAGGACGGCCAGTATGCTCTGCCGTCCTCAGGGGAATGTGTACCCCCCTCAACACATTCCCCTGAGGACGGCCAGTATGCTCTGCCGTCCTCAGGGGAATGTGTACCCCCCTCAACACATTCCCCTGAGGATGGCCAGTATGCTCTGCCGTCCTCAGGGGAATGTGTACCCCCCTCAACACATTCCCCTGAGGATGGCCAGTATGCTCTGCCGTCCTCAGGGGAATGTGTACCCCCCTCAACACATTCCCCTGAGGATGGCCAGAGCATACTGGCCGAAACGTCAAACACTCACCGGTTCTTTTTAGAACCACACCTCTTCCCAAAAGAGAATATTACATGGTGTACCTGCAAACCTACATCCTAATTCCAAGATGGAATCTGTGACAAATTTGTGGTGATGAAATAGCGAAGCGCTTTCAGGAAGAAAATAAGACAGGGGCTTTTCAGAAAACCAAACCTCAAGGCCATCCTTGATAGACATCATCATGTTAGGGGCATTGGTACGAGCCCAAAATTCAGAATGCAATTTTAATTTGCCCTTTACATTAACGCCTTCGGAAGTGAGATCACTAACATGATGATCACAATGTACCTTTATGATATCGGAAATTTCCCAGCTTGAGGATTAGGTCCCAGAGAGCCCTTGGGTTCTTTCCAGCACTCTGAAGTTGTGGCAGCAATAAAAGGGGTGAGGGGTCAAAAGGGCACCGAAAGTTGACCTTCCACATCCACTCAAGCGGCAAGGCCTTGGGGACTGCAGGGTTGACCACACCTCGTAACACTGACAGTAAGCACCTGCAGAATGCTAGCCTTGGTCAAGGTCAAAGATTGTATAGCGCCGCGCAGCAGCGCAAGATGGGGAACTGACCATCCCGCATGTGTTAATTTCATGGAGGTCAAGATCCGCCATTTTGGTGTGCAAATTGCGATCTGTTTGTACAAGCGACATATGGCGGCAGGAGGCTCTATCCACGAAAAAGGGGCAGTAAGGTAAATATTTACCTCCAATTAAGATTGAAACTTATATTTATCATAAATACAAATGTGTAATATCATAACTTAAAACCGTTGGAGATGAAATCGGAGAATTTTGGTGTGTTCTGTGTGGTTACATTCTCTGGGTTGCGGCCATCGGATCGTGCAGCAATCTTAAACACAAGAAGTTGTGGCCTAGGCCCTACATACATGTTTCTCGTACGTTGGCCGCCTGGGGGCAGATATCCCACGGCACGTTTCATTACAACTTAAGTCACTCACCCCCCCCCAAACTGTTGACTAAATTACCCTCAAAAAGTGGAGTTCTTATACTTCTTGACACCTCTGAGCAAAAATGATGTCTTGAATATCAGAAGGTTAAAGTTTCTGGGAAGAGATAAAACTTTAATTTAAAAGAACAGTTGTGTTTTGCCACAGTAATATAATGTTAAATGAAGATGGACCATGACCTTTTACCACAACACCTGAACTTTTGGCTTGTGTACATCTTTCATTTTTTTCTTGGCAAACAGTGGTTATTCACACATGAATATTCATATAGGCTTAGGCGTACAAGATGTATACCAGAATATAAATTTGTACCTGTAACGTTACGTGGCCACTGTCAACATCTGTCATGCATGTCCATTAGCACTAAGTACTGTATATTCACATAACTATTTTTAGAGTAGAATTTGTCAAGAGAAAAAAATCTTCAACCTGTTTTCCAGTTTTACACCCTGCTCTGAAGGGTTAACACACACATAAGAATTTTGTTTGTAAGTGTACCATTTCTGTGTTCGCTTTTTTCATTCAGAAAATTTCTAATCTGTTAAAAACAACTTTGCAGAAGATCATTGATCGGTCTACAAATGACAACAGGAATGTAATTATTTTTCTTGAAAAGATTTGTATTACTCTCTGTACAGATGTTGTAGCTTTAAACAAATCATTAGAAAAAAATCTGTATAAAGATTCCAGTCGATACAAAAGCCATATTCAGTGTTTTGCTCAAATGTGACAGAAAGATGCCTAAGCCCAAGCTATTTACCCTAAAATTGCAAGAGGTGTTGTCCTGAGGAAATCCTGCAAAAAAAGGAAATTTGTGTTCTTCCGAAAAGGGCAGCCTGAACTACATAAAAAAAAAGAAGTAAAATATGAATGAGGGAATGAGTTAACTTAATCCACACCCAGTATTGATACAATGAGGGAACATTTCTGTCGATAACGTGGCTTTTACTGGTAACCAGCTATGTCACTTTGTGATGGTGTTGTTGGGACCCTATTCTCTGTGAAAGAGAGCTCAATGTTAGCAGAAATCTATCAGAGCCTGCTACACACCAAACCTAACCTGGGATGTAGTTGGGTTGTCACGAAACCCACACTTCCGCTTTATTGTTAAAAAAGGTTTTCAACTACATCGTGGTTGAATCTACCTGTTAAAGAAATTTCACACTATCATGTGTTCTCATATCATTTCAAAGCTGGAGAAGGGAAGAAATATTCAAAATCCATACCTTTAATACACAGACCATTTTTAGATCCAACAATTTCCAAACTTTTAAGCCTTGGTATAGTAGTACTTAAAAACGATGTGTGGTTTTTCTTTCTGATATAGGCTCTTCAAAACCTGCTTCTCATTTCAGGTCCTGCTGTTAAATGCATCAAACAAGTTATCGATTTTCTCGATGAACTCTAAAGTGTAGTAGGCAGCTTCAGCAGGGAGCTTCCCATGAGAAGTACAAGTGTAGATGCCTGCTGCAACGGTATGACTCAAGACCTGTGCTGCTTTATTCACTCTCAATTTTTGAGAAGTTGTCAAAGGGACCTCATTAAAGTTTAGATGCCATACGAATGGGTATTTGTGAATCACACTCCCCATAAAATCAAATGTAGGACCATTTTACATGTCCAGTCACCCCTTCTGAATACATGTATCTAAAAAGGTAGCTATGTACGTTTGATCTTGTATTCTTAGTTAAGGAAATGAGGCTGATCAAACATGCAAAAGACCTTTTTTTCATCAAGCAAGAAGTATGGTTTTCCTCTTAAATTGCAAGTGTATTGTACAGTTTCACATTACTGCATCCATGGTCGCATACAATCAATTTCGGAATCAAGAGACAAGGCAATTTCTTTGCATAACACCATCTTCTACCTCTAACATTTACACACCTCGATGAGTTGTGTATTTGTCAATTTGAGAAGCAAAGAAAAACAGCTGGTTCATCCATGGTACCGAGTAGCACCTTTGATGAGGTTGCTCGTGATTTCAGCTGGAGTGGTAATACATGAGAGGATGTTCTGAAGCTGTTGCACTTTCTCTCTCAGTCGAGATGTTTTGACTCATTCCTTGAGTAGAGCTTTTCGGTTTTCCTATGATGAATGCCATCTTCAGTTAAGGGACCATCTACTATGATCGCGTGGAACCTTTTTTTAGTCAAAGAATACATATATGCACATATAAATCAAGCACCCATTGGCTGAACCCCCATATTGCGCATTAACTTTAACTCCAATTCAGCGTTCAGCCAATGGGCACGTGTAATGTGTGCGTGTGATGACAAAGTCACTGATGAACTTGACTGTACAGACAAAGATTGATAGGCAGTTTTAATTGTATATACACATATATATGATACATGTACGTATATCTGTAGATATTTATTTTCTTTTGGTCAGTTTTAGTGGACTTTTTTATGTCCCATCTGGCTCAAGCTTCCTTTAGCATCCTCTTTTTTATCGTTGAGGTGTCACAAGTTTTGGTGGGTTTGGGACCTCAAACATTGTGGGCACTTCATTCCATTTCAGCTTGTTTGGAGGTCATTGGTAACTGGCTGGGTTCAAAATAACTGGAACACAGGCAGAGGTTTGTGTAGAGACACCATTGGGTTCTCTTCAGAAGATCCGTCCTGTGGGTGTTTTAACCTAGAATTGGCATCTGTAATGAAATGGAAACATCAAATAAAATGTAAGCACATAGTAAAATTCAATTTTTTTTTCTTTAGGGCAACAAGTCTGAATTTACAAACTGTGCAGTTTCTGTGCTTTTGTTGTTTTAACTGTCCATACTGTCAGTGAAATAAAGAAAACTTTGTAAAACTCCTAAAGAAGGTGGTGTGGTTTTCATCCTTTGTCCAATATGCCAGTAAATATTTGTAGCTTATGCCTTTGTAGAATGTTAAGCCAATTACAATGTACATGTATTCACGGGTCAGAGGTTCATTACAAATATGAACGTCATTAATTTAGGGGTTCAATCTAGCTTAAGCTACGTGTTGATTTTTGCCGCGATTGTATG